TATAGAAAATGAACAGAAAAGTCAACATTTTATAAATAATGGCAATTTTTCTTTATTTACTTGAAGGTGTTTTGATATTAAATTTCAGCTGCTGGGCAAGTTGTCCACTACTGACCTTTAACATACAGAAATAAGCAGAGTTCTGCCATTTTGTATGCTTCAAAAAAGCAGAAAACTAAAATCTTTCTATATAAAAAAAATAAATTAAACACTTAAAAAAAAAGATAAGATACATCTAAAAGGAGGTTTATAATAATTTTTACAACTAAAGAGTTGCTAAGAAAGTCATCAGTTATTTACTTCAGATCTGCACCAAAACAAAACCCCTCTCAACCCTCCCCACCCTTCAGTCAAGAAACAGTGGGGGTGATTTACTAAAATTGCAGACTGCAAAATCTGGTGTAGCTCTGCATATAAAGCAATCAAATTCCAGCTTTTTTTGTCAAAGCTGAATTGAACAAGCTGAACTTAGAAGCGGATTGGCTACCATGCACATCTGCACCAGATTTTGCACTCTTCACTTTTAGTAAATCAACCCCAGTGGGACTTGCAAAGGACAATCTAGAGTGGTGGGATGCATGCAGGCTCTGGGCAAAATATTCTCTTTTGTTTTGGACAGTGTAGGGAATGGTTAAAACCAGTCAAGTTTTTATTCCTAAGTCTGTCTCCTTACTTCCTGTGATGAAAATGCTTTATTCAGCGACAGGAAATCCCCCTAAAGCCATCCATAGATGGAGCGAATTTCTTTCCTGCAACTACGGGTTGCAGGAAAGAAAATATCTCGAATTCTCCATCAACACTGACTGACTGAATCCCTCCTGCCTTTGTGATCTCCCAGGGGTGAGTGGGGAATGTTGAGCTGTCCCCGCCGGGAGAACACAGTGATTAATGCTAGTGGCTATAATAGCCACTAGCAATAATCACGTAAAATCCGACAGGCTGGTTGTACCCAAGTTGATCAATTTCCCCTTACCACCTGGGTAACATTTGGGATTCTCCATTTTTGTTCCCTTGACAATGGTCACCAGTACAAATAGAAAGGTGAATTTACCCAGTGGGGACATAATAACAACCGTACAATATATTGACCCCTCTGCTCTCTGACAAAAAAGGAAGGGTTAGTTATAGATACATCTTTAATATAATAAATACATCTGAAATACACCTGAAAGTATTCGATGTAATAAACTGAAACATCGATACTACATTTAGCAGCTGCCACAAGCCACATCATAAACACTATTACTTTTCAAAACTCAACTACACAGTATAGATAACTTTGCATCTTTATAAATACAGAATAAGTACCACACTATACTGGAGGATAGTAGTTCAACATCAGCTTAGGAAAACATTTTTTCTTTTCTGACTTCACTTGGTTGGATCAGATGCGTATTTAAACTCCTAAAGCCTAACTCCAGCTTTGTTTGGGCCAAGCCGACTCAAACTCTTTCCTTCACTAACTGCTGCGGCCAGTGCATGTGCTGTATAAAACTGTATGCAGTATGAATGCCATTTCCGACAGTGGTGCAGAACTTACTGTATGCTACTGGATCAAAACTGATTCAGGTGGACCACTTGCTCAGCCATTCACAGGAAGCCTTGTATTTTGTCACTGAATACATAGCTTCCACCAATTGGCTGAGATATATTGTGACATCATCCGCCCACCTCTCAGCCAATCAGTGGAAGCCTTGCAATCATCGAAAACATACAAGGTTTTCTATGAATACTGAGTGACGTTCAGCAGGTCTCAATATTGTTCTGACAGCAGATGGACGACCTGTACCTCTGCCAGACCACAGTGCTGCATACCGATTCATTGAGTCCTCTCTATCCCATACTTGAGACAATATTTAAAAAAACTTTCCAGAGACTCAATTCTTTTTTTTATAATTTCAAAGTCCGCTAAATATAATCGTTCTGTGTGTGAAGACGACAGATACTCCCTTTCTTCAAACCTAAAAACTGATCAGCAGGAATTATTATTGTCATGCATTTTTATACGTTTTCTAATGCAGGTAAAATGCACTAAATTTGTTTTCAATCGGGTCTGTTACCATGAACAGGTTTTCCCATTAAGCTGAAAGAGTGTCTTTTAAAAACACAACGGGTCTGAAAGCATTCAGCAAGCTATGTTATGAACGGGCCCCAAAGCTGCACAATTCTAAAGCTGATGTACATACAGTGGGAAAAATAATTATGTGATCCCCTACAGATTTTGTAAGTTTGTCTACTTACAAAGAAATGAAGGGTCTATAATTTTTATAATAGATATATTTTAAATGAGAGACAGAATATCAACCAAAAATCCAGAAAAAACATGATACAAATGTTATAAATTGAGTTGCAGTTCAGTGAGTAAAATAAGTATTTAATCCCCTACCAACCAACAATAATTCTGGCTCCCACAGACTGGCTTTGTGCTCATGGGGTACAGATTAGTCCTGCCAATTTAAGAAGATGCTCCTAATGCCAACTCATTATGTGTATAAAAGCCACCTGTCCACAGAATCTTTCTTCCATTCAAACCTCACCATCATGAGCAAGACCAAAGAGCTGGTAAAGGATGTCAGGGACAAGATCATAGACCTGCACATGGCTGGAATAGGCTACAAGACCATCAGCAAGCAGCTTGGTGAGAAGGAAACTACTGTTGGAGCGATTATTCGCAAATGGAAGAAATACAAAATAACCATCAATCGTCCACGTTCTGGAGATCCATACAAAATGTTGCCTCATGGGGTAAGGATGATCATGAAATAAAATGAAGGATCAGCCCAGAACTACATGGGAGCAGCTTTCTCAAGACAGTTGGGACGACAGTCACCAAACAAACCATTGGTAAAACAATAGCGGCCATGGATTGAAATCCTGCAGCGCCCACAAGGTCCCCCTCCTCAAGAAAGCACATGTACAGGCCCGGCTGAAGTTGGCCAATGAACATCTAAATGATTCAGAGAACGATTGGGAGAAAGTGCTGTAGTTAGGTGAGATCAAAATTGAGCTCTTTGGCATTAAATCGACTCGCTGTGTTTGGAGGAAAGAAAAATGCTGACTATGACCCCAAGAGCACCATCACTACAGTCAAGCACGGAGGTGGAAACATGCTTTGGGGCTGTATCTTTGCCACATTGAGGGGCGAATGGACGAGGCCATATTTGTAAAATCTTGGATGAGAACCTTCAGCCAGAACACTGAAGATGGGTCGTGGATGGGTCTTCCAGCATTACAATGACCCAAGGCAACAAAGGAGTGGCACAAGAAGAAGCACATTAAGGTCATGGGGTGGCTTAGCCAGTCTCTAGACCTTAATCCTATAAAGAATTAATGGAGGGAGCTGAAACTTGTTGCCAAGCGACAGATCAGAAGCCTTAAGGATTTAGAGAAGATCTGTAAAGAAGAATGGACCAAAATCCCTCCTGAGATGTGTGCAGACCTGGTAACCAACTACAGGAAATGCCTTACCTCTGTGCTTACCAACAAGGGTTTCTCCACCAAGTAGTGTTATGTTTTGCTTGGGGTCAAATACTTATTTTAACCTACCGAACTGCAACTAAATTTCTAACATTTGTATCATGTGTTTTTTGGGGATTTATGGTTGATATTCTGTCTCTTATTTAAAATCCAGAAATGATAAAAATTATAGACATTTCATTCCTTTGTAAGTGGGCAAACTTACAAAAACTGCAGGGGATCAAATAATTATTTGCCCCACTGTAACTAGATTAATATCAATATATTTATTGGTCAGGTCCATTTTCTATGCTGATTAATATTTGATTAAAAACTATCAACTACTGAATGCCACAAACCACCCCGCAGTCCAATTGCAACCATTTCATTTTAACTACTCATAATCCAGTTGTTCTGCTATGGCCAAATACAAATATTTAACTTGGGAACTGATGAATCTGCAACACTTCAGGTTTCAATGTGTGGGTTTGGATAACCAACTACTGGATCACGCTCCTCAACATAACGACATACCGCCAGATAAGGGAAATTTATCAAAGCCTCTCACGGCTAAGACTAGTCAGACTTCTGCATGAGAGGTGTGGTGTGTTTTTCCTGCATTTTACATGTATAAACATTCATAACAAGAACACTGCACATTTTCCCCCAAAAACAACCCCACACAATAGCTGTTAAAATAGAACAAAAAGGCATAACTTTACTTCATTCTGGATAGTATTATAACCCGTGTCAGTTTCTTGACAAATATGTCCCATTGGGGAGATTTCCCTTCACTTCCTGCCCCATAGCCAAAACAGAAAGTGAGAAGAAATCCCTCCAAAGCGAGGGAATCCCTGGTTGTCACCAGAACTAAAAATCTTACAGGTACTCTAGTTCCTCCACCCCAAAAAAAAAAAAAAAATTAAAAAAAAATTGTTTTGCCTTCAGGTATACCTTTAATGGCAAAAACAGACATGCAGGATATATGTCTGGGGAACAATGAAGCTAGCTCACTGCAAGTTACACTGCTATATTCAAATGGGGCTTTCAATGGCTTCGTCAGAGACCGGTGTTTTAATCAATGAAATATGGTCTTCAGCCAGTGTTACCAAAACCTGCCTTAAGTCAAACGTAACTGTGTGTGGGTATCCACAAAACACAAGCTGTTCGGCCATATTTCAGGACAGCTTTAGAAACGACTACCACACACTCCAGTAGATAAACTATTAACACTCTTCAATCCTTTGCAAGTCCTTTACGTGCTATCAATGTACACGACTTAACTTCTGGGGAAAGGTCAGAGAGCATGCCAACATAACTCAAATAAAAGTCTTGTGTGATCTATAAATATAGACAGTTCGTTATACCATGGAGTGTCCTCCATAGTCTGTGAAGCAGAAAGAACTGACATGGGTGTGATGCATTCATGCAGGAAGGAGTCTAATATGTGAAGTGAATGAGTCCAGGTAGCATGAAGGCAGATATATCCACTGCAGCCTTAGCAGCACAGGAGCCAACGACTGAGCAACCATTTGCATATCCTTTTATGCCTTATACTTCTCCTTTCCATCTTCGCTAATCACACAGATATGCTGAAACACAAGACACAAAAGGTTATTCAGTGTGTAAAAAGTAAAACATATTGATAGCCTTTTCTTAGTGGCAGCCTTATTAAATGGTTTACATTGCTGAAAAATGTTTATATTTACATTATTTTCACTTTTGCCATTAACGTAGAACAAAATCCAAAAAAGCTGCTGTGCTTACTCAGCCTGCCTACTCACATGCAGCAAGAGGGTTGTAAATACCACATCTTGAAAAAATATACCACAGGTTGACGCCCAACTAAATGCACCATTACAAAATGCTTTAGTCATTATAAAAACCATCACATCATTAAAAAGCTTTCAAATCACAAAGGACCCAATGTATCTACAAACCCAAACACTAGGAGCAGTGTTAATTTTGAAGGCAAATTTAGCGTTAGTTATAGTCTTTTGACTAAAATGCCATTTTAGGTTTAACTGTATTTTAGTCATATTTCAGTCAACTAAAAACTCCAGTACAATTTAGTCAACTAAAATCAAATGGTGTTAAATTGTAATGCATTATTTAAGCATTTCAATATAATTTCCAAACTCATTATATACTCCTGGAGTAAAAATCTAAAGTAGTTCTAAAGACTTAATACACACACACACACACACACACACACACACACACACGTGTGCTGCACAGAGCAACCCAGATCTTCCTCTTCTAGGGTCCCCCACCGGCACTCCTGGCCCCTCCCTCCTGTCGGGTGCTCCCACAGCAAGCAGCTTGCTATGGGGCACCCGCTGCTTAGCGTGTCCATTCACACATGGAGCCACAGCTTGGCCTGCCCCCTCTCTCTTCTCATTTGCTCACTGGCTGTGATTGACAGCAGTGGGAGCCAATGGCTTCCTCTTCTGTCTCAGCCAATAAGGAGAGAGAGTACCAGGATAGCCGAGACTCCAATGCACATTGCTGGATCGAGAGGGGGGGCTGGGGGGAAGCCGCACAGAGAAGGTTTTTTACCTTCCTGCACAGAATGCATGAAGGTAAAAAAAAACCTTGACCCTTTACAACCACTTTAAGGTTTGAACATGCACTTCAGACATAGATTTAGCCATTGTGATATATAACCAATGTTAATTTTGAAGTCAAATTTCGATTTAGTATCAGTCCTTTGACTAAAATGCCATTTTAGTTGTATTTTCTGAATTGTTTTAGTTGAAGCAGAAATGAGATCAGCTGTTGTAAAGATAACCAAACTACAAAACTAGACAAACTAACTGAAACGTATACAATATGAACTGTCAAAATGTTGTCAGTTTCAAATAGTTGCACCTGACCAAAACATGTAAAAACAGAAGTCACATAGGTATATTATATGCTGTAAAATCAATGCATGCTGTGTTAAACACTTACATTCAAATCTCTAAAATATTCATTGTAGTCTAGAGCATAGCCCACAACAAACTTGTCTGGCACTTCAAATCCTACAACTAAAAAGAGAAAACATTTTACAAAAGAGATAGCCAACAAGAAACTGCTTGCCTGGTTTTATTAGTAATTGGATCTACAATTTGTTTTAGAAGCAATAGATATCATTTAGGGTGTATGTTCACCCATAAGGGATCCTTCCATATTGGTTGGTTTGGTCTAGTTAAATTCTTTTTGCTATGAAGCACCACTGACATAACTTACCTGTGCTGAAGAATGTCTCATATCTGGCTGGCTTCTCATAGTTTAGAAATGTTCTCCCCACAGTGCTGATCTTCTAGCACTGCTGGAGTTAAAAATCACTCACTGCAAGAGTAAAAAGAGTTGTGGCACTCACCTGCCTCCTCCATTCATAGAACTTGCAGTATTCTTTACCAGAATGCAAACTATTTTTTGATTGGAGGAGGCAGAGCCTGTCATTCATCTGCCCATCCTCCATTCACAGAATAGACATGTGACAACACTTCATTACAGGTAAATTGTCTCTGGTGCTGCATAGTAAAATTGTTAGGACAGACTGTGTTAAAACATAATACATACAAAAGAGAACCAAGTAGGATTTTTCAGTCCTGAAGTTTTCAGAAAAGAGCATGTGAAGCAGCAATGGTAAAATATCTTAATATTTTTAGTTGTGCTATGTGAATGAAAACATTTAACAGAAATAAAATGGGCATTATCCCAGTTTGGCTCCTGAGAGCAAAAGTAGAAATACACTGATATTTTTTGAAGAATTCCATGAAACTAATTGAATGGGAAAAACAATGTCAACAACCCAAAAGGCAGCATGTAGAAATGTTCGAATGAATCTTACTGTGTCATGCTGGTTGGTGTAAGGGGTGCTATTAGAAACAATTGTTTTACATCTAAGACATTCAGCAAACTGTATGACAATGATGACCATGAAAATGAGCAATAAATCTTTAAGCATTTTGTAAAATGTGAATGCTCAGTGAGGAAACGGGCTTCTAGTTCTGGACTTAAAGCATGATTAAAATCAAAACGTTTTTTCAGATTTGGTTAGAATCATTGTCCGGTTTTTATTGCTGTCTGCATTCCTGTTAGGGAGATTCACTGCTCTCCAACTGTCTTGATTGCCAGTATTGCTGGGAGTGAAAGTGAGAGTAAATCCAAAATTCTGAGCTGCCACCAGAGATAGCAAAAACAAATAAAACTGGCAGCGACTCTAACCTTTTCCTATTGAAAATGAAAAATATTTGCTTTCAGCTGTTTCTTCTGGCATATCACATACATTGTGGCATTGCAGAAGCAGGCATTGTTCTGAGGAACAGTGCCACAACCTGCATTTGTGCTAGAAGCACACTCTCAGCATACTCTCAGCATTCAGCCCATGCTGTCAGACAGCTCCTGTCAGACAGCTCCTGGTCTCTCAATAATGATTGGTAGCTTGGAGGAACAGCTTACGATCGCTGTCATAGAATGTGGTTGGCTGTCAGTAAAGTCTGCCTCAGTTTAACCATTTGACGCCCGGCCAATAGCCATATGGCATCCGGAAAAATGCACTGGCTTTCCGGGAGGCCGCCATATGGCATACTCCCGCACATGCGCAGTTCGCACGCTTGCAGAGCCGCGCAATCTGTCACCGGCCGTGTACCTCGGACACGGCCGATGACAGATCTGAGTATCGGCTCCGTTGCCGGTACCATGTGACCTGCTGTGACCAATCACAGCAGGTCACATGACAGTTGTATACAATGGATGGCTTCATTCATGCCATCCATTGTTATACTAGTGTCTAGCTGTGAATGGTCACAGCTAATCACAAAAAAAAAAAAAAAAAAAACAAAAACAACAACCCCTGAATGAATCCATGTCATTCAGGTAAATGCTTGCTTATAGCAAAGTAATTCTTTGCTATAAGCAAATTGTGTAAAAAAAAAAAAAAAAATACTGATCACTTCCCAAAGTAGTACAATGTTACTATGGTAACATTGTACTACTTTGGACATAGTGAAATATGAAAAAACAAATCTTAAAAAAAAAAAAAAAAAAAGTAATAAAAAAAATTTAAAACAACAAAGAAAAAAAAATATATATTTTTTTTTTCACACTGTAACCAGTCAGTGTCCCTGATCACCGTCATGCCAGTTATATGATGACGCTGTACTGCACTGACAGTATGTAAAAAAAAAAAAAAAGTGAAATTTTTTTTATTTTTTTCATTTTCCAAAAAATGACAAAAAAAATACAACTTCAAAAAACTCGCCATGCCTGTTATGAAATACATCGGACTGTCTACTTTGCAAAAAGGGGTCATTTGGGGGATATCTGTACTGTTTTGACATTCTTGGACCTCAAGAAATTAGATTGGCTGTCAGTACTTCAGGACTGATCAATATTCAGATCTATACCATAGTTTGTGAACTCTATAACTTTCCTACAGACTAAAAAATACATCCTAATTTGGGTTATTTTCACCAAAGACATGTAGTAGAACACATCTTGGCCTAAATTTATGAAGAACAGTTATTTGTAAACTTTTATAACAGAAACAAAGAAAAACATGTTTTTTTTTTTTTCAAAATTTTCGGTCTTTTTTTGTTAATTTAGCAAAAAATAAAAACCCCGGCGGTGATTAAATAAGTTCTAGTTGTGTGAAGAAAATGATAAAATTTTAGTTTGAATGACAATTGCGCGGTCATACATTGTACCCAAAGTGTGACAGCGATGAAACCTGAAAAATGGCCTGGGCAGGAAGGGGGTAAAATGCCCGGTATTGAATTGGTTAAAAAATCTTTGCAATCTTCTTATAGCCATTGCCCTTCCTGTGAGACCAAAACGTGTGTAAAAACACAGTATATAGGAATATAAAATAGATCAAGCCTTGAAAGGTTAGTGTCAGGATCAAAAGGTCATAGTCAGTATGTTTATATTTGTGTCATGGTGATGGCTAGAAATATGCAAAGTTTTTAATTTTTTTTTCTTTTAATTTATTATTTTGGGCCACTTTTTCGGATTAAAAAAAAATGGGTAAAAGGTACTATGTCCCTAATGCTAATTTAAGTGTCTCCTGCTGCATTTTTCACAGAAATAATGTAACAGCAAATCCACAATAACCTACTTTGCTCAATACAAATGCTAAAAAAATCACTGCAGGAATAATACCAAGGTATTTATGTAAAAAAAAAAAAAAAAAAAAAAAAAAAGTTTAGTAGGAGTCAGACCTGCCCACTATTTAACTACTCTCTCATCTATGGCCAATGCTAGGTCTCGTGCACATCAGGTTTGTGTTCCCCTTGCTATAGAAATCAAAAAAGCAATGTAAAAGCAGTTCAATGCAACTTAGCAGCATGAGGAAGCAACCTAAAGCTGGCAGATACAGCACCAACAACATCACTTATGTGTACAGCTATGTATCCATTACCTCCAGGTGGCGGATCGGATAAAAATTAGGATTTTTGGTTTACCTGTATAATCCTTTTTGGAGTATATCAAACACAACCCCTCTCTGCTCCCCTAAGCCTTAGTTTTGTAGAACAAAATAGGGAAATGGGAAGGGAGCAACAAGGGAAGCTCTCAGTGCCCATTCATATATATGCGGAGTGGATGCGCTTTGAGCCGCATCCAATCCGCATGACATGTGAAATAACATTGCTTCCTATGATACACTGCCAATGCAAAGTCCTGTACAATTTCTGAGCAGTGCGGTCCGGTTCAGGTGCGGACTACAGGCTATTGACTTCTATGGGAACCGTTTCTAAATCTGACGTGTGAACAGGATAAAATCCTGAGCTGGTCCTGTCCTGAACCTGATGTAAACCTGACCTGAACTGGTGAACAGCTACTGAGCTTCAATCGGCACCGCACATGTGTGAATCAGCACAGAGAGAAGGAAGTTTCCAAAACAGACAAGACCATTTTAAAAACCGTAATAAACCTCACAAAAAAAAAAAACAAAAAAAAAAAAAAAAAAAAAAAACAAAAACAAAAAAAAAAAAGTATATTGTAGATTTTGTAGGCTTTTTTTTGTTAATTTTCCCTGGTGATTCAGCCGTAAAGCACTTCCTGTCTTAGGGTGTCTACTTTGCCATTTGCTGAGAGTGCAGATCAGGAGCCAATCGGCAGACCTTTTTTCGTCATGCTCCTTTGACAGAAGGCGGCCAAATGGCCAGCTACTGTTGGACCAGCTGCTTTCCACACAGGTCAAATGTCGGACAGTTTCTATTAAACCTGCCAATGCCTCCCGACATTCGGCCCATGTGCACTAGGCTTAAGCAGGGTATACACGTACAGTTTTTTCCAATCAACAAGCAGGTTGAACAAAAAAAAAAAAACAAAAAAAAACAAGAAAAACCCAAAAAACACTGACAGATCCCTACATCAACACAATAGCCATTGGCTGGAAGAGCTAATCAAATGCTGGATTTCCAGCATAAGAGACAGCAGTACACATGGACTGAAAGTTGACAAGTTCCGGCTAAATATACCCAGCTTTAAATGAACTTGACCAACAAACTGAAGCCGAACTCCAGCTAATATTTTTTTCCTTTGGGATTAAAGTGGTTCTAAAGGCTGAACGTTTTTTACCTTCCTGCATTCTATTTAGTAAAAAAAAACAAAAAAAACACACATTACGATCGCTTTAAGGTTGACCATTTTAAGCACCCCTTGTCACTAATGGTTTGTCTCAACCCTCTTACTGCTACTTTGTTTGGACAGGTTGGTCTGTTAAGATAAGTTGAAAAATAAACTTACTGGCTGGATCACCAGGTGAAAGGAAAAAAAGCCTATAAAAAGAAAAAAACTGATGCAGCCACCACATCTAGGAAATGGTGAGCTGTAAATTTAATAGATTTTTGTTTTTAGGTTTAATGCTATAAGGTGCTTTAGGGTGACACTGAGACAAGAAGTTCTGCACAGGCGGAACAAGACATGTGACACTCTGCACAAACACTTTAACCAAGGAATGAGACATGATAGATCTCTGAATCAGAATGGCCAAGGCTGATATCGGTCCCTTGTTGATAATTCCAGAGACTTGTCCACATCAGACTGCAGAAAGGCTAAAATGCGTTGCCAGCGTTACATCTGGTGAAAACGGCGTTCCATGTACAATGGTATGTTTTCCTGGAGGTGGACTTTACTAGCCTTAAGGAGGGTAGAGATGAAAAATTCCAAAACTTCTCTGTCCCTCAGGACCTGGGCTTCAGCAGCCATGCCATCAAAGCTAGCGTCCAAAAGCCAGGATGAAAAAAACTGGACCTTGCAATAGCAAATCTGGCTAATCTCAAAGTGCCCACAGCTTTTAGGATGTCTGCAAACCATTCTCTTCTGACCAAAAAGGTGTTATGAGATTCAACGGAATGGTCTTTTTTCCTGTACAACAGGTGAGGAAGAAGCTGCAGAGAAGAAGGCATAGATCAGTGAAAATAGATCCCAATGATTCACCAGGGCTTCTACAACAAACTCGAGAAATCCTTGCTTCAAGACATGAACCAGTCAAGTTTGCTAATGAATCTGGTTGCCAAGAGAACCAGACTTGGAATGCCCCACCACAAACTAATCTCAGCAAATACTCCCAGGTGAAGAGACAATTCTCTCTGATTTGGCTGCTGACAGCCAAGTTCGTCTGCCAATTTTCCATGCTGAGAATATCTGTAGCAGGAAGGGATCAGAGCATGTCTGCCAATTTTCCACACTGAGAATATGCACAGCAAAAAGGGCCCAAAACATACAGTTCTGCCCAAGACAAGATCAGGTTCAAGTCTTTCTGAGCAGAGTGACTTCTTGGCCCATCTTGATAGCTAATGTATGCCACAATCATGGCATTGCATGCCTGCCTCCTTATGGGAAGACCCTGAAGGTGGATGGATTGTGTAGAAGAACCAACTAAACTGCCCAAAGTTCCAGGATATTGAGTAGCAACTTTCACTCTTCTAACAACCACGTTCCCTGACTTGACCTGAGAGGTCTGGAACACCTCCCCATCCCGACAGGCTGGCATCCATCGTCAAAACCTTCCAACTCATCGGAAGAAAGGCTCTTCTGGTATCCATCATCTTCACGGATATTCACCTTTTCAGAGCTGACTTGGTCTTGGGAGTCAAAAGCGTAAGCAGATCCAAAAGACACCTGCGGCGTGTCCCAACAGAATAGAATAAAGAGCTAAGGAGTGAAACTTTGCAAGGAGAACTGCATTAAAAAGGTAGTTACCATCTTCCTCAACACCTTCATGAAGGTCAAATTGAGAGACTTTCCAAAAACCTCAGAGACTCTACCTGAGCCTGAAGACACAGGCATTTCTCCTGCAGATCCAGTACCTTCGCCAATACTGTGTTGAACATTACACCCGTGTTGAACATTACCAGGTATCCCCACACTGTGTAGATCAGGAGATGCAAGACATGTGTACTGCGTTCAGGGACTGGACAAAATAGAGCTTGCACATGATGTCATCTTCACTCTCTTACCTGTCAATTAAGGCCTGAGAACACAGAAAATATCATCTATCCCAACAATTACCCAACTGTAGGAGGTACAAGATGGAGTCATTAAATCTCGGCTTCTGAGAGAGGTTGCACTGCTCACCAACCCATATTCTCCCACAATACATCGCATCATGTGAATGCATGGTGGAGACCCTGTCATTCAGCTGGTCCTTCTCTATTCACAGATCACAAGGTATTGTGTGAGAATATTAATACAAACTCTCTGAATGGCGGAGAGGGCAGAAGGGGTTGGGCGAGCAGCACTACAGAACCGGAAGACAGCCACTCCTAGCAGTAATTGGCAGCTATGAAGGAAGCACTGAAGGGATTGATTTGTATCAGAATCAGCAGCCTGCAGGTAATGGGATACACAAAGCTATGCATAACTAATATGTTTGGTGCTGTACTAAAAAAAAATTAAAAAAAAATGTATTTCAGTTTTTAAAACACAAGTCTTCTGTTCAGTCTAATGTCCAACACCAAAGTACAATGGCCAAAAACAAAAAGGTCAAAACTAACTAAACCGTTCACTATACAAAGAACGTCTACAAATAGACTATCAAATGTGAATTCTGAATTATAGCAATAAAACTACTTACAATCAGGTCTATATCCGACACTCCTGGGAGTTCTTTTAACAAGCAAGCTGCAGGAAAAAGAAACTGTTGAATAGAAACAGGGAAAAAAAAACAAAAAAAAAAAAAAAACAGCACACACTACTGATACAATGCGACCAGTACTACAATACAGATGTCCATTGACACACACAGAATAGAATGCATTAAGGTAAAAAAACCTTTAGAATCACCCTCTATAGTGTGTACTTTTCCCTACCCAGGGTACTAAATGTAATTTCTCTCTATCAGCACTAGTCACTTCTGACAAGTTTTCCCTGACACAAAGAGGAAAAAAAAGTGACAGAGGAGGGGTCTCCAGCACACAGCCTGTGATTGACAGCCTCAGCTCTCTTCCTGTATGCTGTGTGAAAGGGGGGTGTGCCTTCCCTCTAATCAACTCTCCTCACTGAGTGCAGAGTGTAACTTCAGCTCCCTGTCCCCTGCTTTTTGGAAGCCCAGACAAGCTATAAAAATCTGCACTTTGAATGGATGTAGAGGAGAGAAGACAGCAGAATAACAGGAGCAACTTACGTAGGAGGATTTGTTCCATCTCTATGCATCACCTGAGGCTAGTCACTTAATTGGGTGAGGGCTTACAACCACTTTAAATGCATGCATTCATAACACTTAGCTTGTAGACCATGAGCTTTTTAGTTTCAAAATCCAACAGTGCCTGTGTGCGTAATTAATTATTCTTCTATTGGCTCACGGAAACAAAAAGGTAGTAAGTGGCCTTGCCACCTGCTGTCTGTAAATTAAAAACATTTCTAATTTATCTGACAGAGAAAAAAAAAAAAAAAACTTTCACTAAAGTCCTAAACATAAAGAAAAATATGCAAACGCGTACATTGCATTGAGGAAAAATGAGGAGCCATAAACTAAAGTTCTGATTGCCCACAACAAATCGCAGGAACTGCTGATGCAGGGGTGAAAATGGGGATATGTAAATTGACCTCTATTGAAGATAAAAATTCCCTTTATTGCAGCAATGCAATTAGAGACCAGTTTGATTCCATACAAAATGTCTAGACCTGCAAGAAGGTGATGAAAACTTTCAAGTCTAGGATGGAGCAAACGCCACCAATGGGCTTCAGAATCAGAAACCGGTTCGAAAAAACCTGAAACTGTTCCTTGGAGGGAACTGGCACAATCAATCCCGAAAAAACGAAGTTGATGTAAGGCAGTCTCAAGGGCCTGCAATCTCATCGGAGAGGCAGAAATGTTGGAGGGCAAATTGGGGAGCGGTAGGGAGAGAAACTCCAGCTTGTACCTATGGGACACCAAGTCTTGGACCCAGAGACCTGAAAGGCCCTGAGCTCAGGCAGCTGAAAGCCAAAAGACAGCCATCCCCCCAACATGTAATAGTGGTGGCGTCCCTTCATTACTAGGGCAACTTTGTGCAAGACTTGGCTGGCATGGACAGTCAAAGACTTGTGACAGAACTAAGTGGAGTACTAGATCCATGAAGCGAAGGTCTGGGAGAGAACAAAACAAGTCTTCCCAAACCTCAAAGCAGCGGACTTCACCATGGATGCCTCAGCTTACTTTACTGGATAAAAGTACTTTTTCTCCCTGACTTCCTTAATAAAAGTATCTTGCGACTCCATGAAGCTGAATCCTAAGCATTTGTTACAAACTGCCCCTGCAGACCAATTTTGCAGTCAGAGAACCCTGTGAATATGTATGGATATGAAGGAGGAAAGGATGAACATAGCGTACCTTGTCATTTCCTGGAGGCCCACAACAAATCCACCCAGGGGCTGTGTGTCTGGGTTGTGAAGGCACTGACTAGAGATCTCACTGAGGTAGAGCGCTTTTACAGGCTCTGCCAAAGGGAGACCTATTGGATCTACGCCATCAACACTCTGTCCCTCTGCAGGCCTCAATGAGGAATTAGAGGTTGCCACCATCCTTTAACAAATAACTTTCATGTTCCACTCTATTTACAGGTTTCCCTTTGTTTGCCATCTTTAGATACACCATTCTAGTAATTATTGCTATCTAGAGACGTACTCCCATGTTCCTGACAGTATCTTGCTATATATTATTCTGACTAAATGATTATTATCTACAGGTTCTTCATCTATTATGGTTATGTGGGTGATCTGGAAATTTAATAATTTTTTGTGGGTGGTCTACCTTAGAAAAGTACTCGATATGGTTGATCTAGTCCATAACACATGTTAATGCTTATATAATAGTATTTACTTGTCTCCTATGACGCATACTTTAGGTTATTCTGTGCATATAGATACAACTGGTTCCCCCTCCATCCTACCCCTTCACTTTTCCCATTTTTTTTCCCCCTTTCTTCCCATTTCTCCCTTTCTCCACTTTTTATCCCCACATAATTTCCACTTTCTTCCATCTTTGCCCATTGCCCTGTTGGGCATAATGAATCGAGTTGAATTTTTATCTCCCTCTTTATCATTCACTTCACATACATATAAACATAACTAGCTCTTTATGAGTTTACCTTTATTCCTAAATCTGTTATTGTGTAAGGACTACAATATACACCGTTATATCATAACCTTACATCACACACACAAATTTATATACACACACACACATTTTAATATACAGTATGCATATGTATATATTTATGTAATTTTCCATATGATCTAATTTTATGCCATATTATGTTTTAATTCACAGTTAGCAAATATCATGGTTGTTGTTAATTGTCAATAATGTTGAAATCAATTCTTTACATCATTTTAAAATTTTATGTATGAATCATCTTTTTAATGCCAGCCCGTTTCCCCTCCTCCCTGCTGTTCCTCGTAGTCCCATTAGTTGTCAACTGCATTCCCCATGTCCCATATAAGGCTGCTCTGTAATCCTAATCATCAGCTTGAGAGAGGAGCGCGCAAGTCCATTACGGACTCCGCGCATGTTCAGAAACGTGTTGCATCCCTTGCTGACGTCAGAACACTGGACACTGCGGTTCATGCCTGCATTTCAGCGGGCGCCTTGGACCAGTGGAGATTCCAGGCCAGCTTTCTTCATCCACGCCGACTGTGCCCCCTGACTGCAGCAGCATCTCACCCTGGCAGAGTGGCAGTTTGGTCATCTACTTCTACTGATGAGCCTTTTTATTTCATTTACATGTGAGTTGCCTAACCACTTTGCTATTAAAGTTCCAAAAAAGTCTACATTCAGAGGAGCTATTTTTCTCTCCTTATATGGACATGAGAGCCAGGCAAGAAATTTGATGCAGGAGGAATGAGGAGATCCCAAGGAGATAAGAGAAGAAACTGAAGCATGGAGACGGAGCTTCAGATACCCAGGTGCAGAGTTTTGAGAGCAACCATAAGTAATCCCTGCTGGCCCTAGAAACAGTGTGTTTTGGAAAGGAAGGGACTGTGTGCAAAATCAAGAAGGGGGATTCACAGTACAATGGCACCAATACATATAGTATATTTGGCAAGAGTTACGGCCAACAAACAGGCCAACCTTTTAGACAATGTCTGCAGAGGAATTTTCTCAATATTCCCAAAAGGAGGTCTTTATAGGACTAAGAGAGCCAAAATTAAGATCCCACACAACTCCTTGAATAAAAGTACAGAATAAAGAATGATTAGTCCAGAAGTGCTTGGCACCACCACCTGTGGGGGTCTTGAAGGTAACAGGAAGGGCAAATACCTAAAAATAAGTTACACCAAAAGCATATAATCCCCCCCCCCCCCCACACACACACACAAAGCAAAAGGACACGCTGGGGCGCCTACACATGAAAATGTTGATTGCGATACACATATTACATATCACCACGCATGCCAGAATAAGATCAATTATTCTAGTACCAGATCTCCTCCGTAACACTAAACTGATGACCTATAAAGGGGCTTTATAAGTGCCAGCCATAGAAAATATAGGGTACTAAAGTTTGTTGCCGTTTCAGGAGTACACGCAAATGTAGAGTTTGACATGTTGGATATTTACTCGATGCAACCTCGTCTTTCATATTTTACAAAAAATTGGATAATTTATTGCTTTTTGTCTCCTAAAATTAACTTAAGTATTTTTTTTACTGAAACCTTTGCAATATCCTGTGACATAAAAAATTGGAACTACCGCTGTTTTATTTTCTAGGATCTCTGATTTCAGAAAATATATAATGTTGGGGGTTGCGGTGCTGGAGAGAGGCATGGAGGGGAGGAGGAGATAAACAGCGCACTGTTAAAAATATTAAATGTTTAAGTCTCCATAAAGCCCTGTTTTTAAAAGCCCCAGACATTACTTAAAGCAGATTTAAATATGGTTTTGGTTAAAATGTAGGTTTTTTTTTTTTTTTTTTAATCAGGACAAGTAGATTGTCATGAGGGACAAACAGACTGAGACACCAATTTAGTCCCCGGACATGTTGTTTCTTTCAAAAACTTCCACACCCCTGAACACACCATGGGCACTGTACCACTCCAGCACCAACAGGCCTCCACAAGACCGGAGGTGTCTGCACACCCAGCAACGTACCCAGGGAACGCAGGTGAATATGAATCCAGAAGGCAAGCTCCACCGTCCCAGGGTGAGGGGGATAATGTGAGGACTAAGCAGACAACCACTAAGGTTTGGAAGAAGGAGGGGACTCCATGGAATAAACCACCTCAGGGAGTACCTGTGCCCCACACTGTGGATGGAGAAGGAAGGGAATGAACATCTGCATACCGATCCCGTGGAGCGTTGCCAGTAAAGCTCCCATAACAGATCCTCCTCTCCACCGAAGTGGGGGCTATCGGCCGGGGTAACATTGTGATCCCGGCTCCCCGGTCATATGTGTCCCCATAAGACATTTTTAAAAAAAAAAACAAAAAAAAAAAAAAAAAAAAAACAAACACACTTTTCTTTTAATCATACTTACCTAGGTGGATGCAGCATCGACGCAATGCTGCATCTGTCCCCCGACATCTCGAACTGAGAGAACAGACACCATTGAACGCTCAGTTCACCCTGCCATTCTGAACAGAGTGATAACTGTCAGCAGGTATCAGTAACTGTCATGGATGTTAAGGAGCAATCGGGATGAGTGAGCGTCTTCCCCATCCTGAACCATACCAGGCTACATGCCCTCAACATGGGGGGGGGGGGGGGGGGTGCTCTGGGGCAGAGGGGGCTCCCCCCCAAAGCACCTTGTCCTCATGTTGATGAGGACAAGGACCTCTTCTCCACAACATTGGTGGGTGGTTGTGGTGATCTGTGCATGGGGAGCTTATCGGAATCTGGAAGGGGGCCACCAGATCTCAGCTTCCCCCCATGTGAATGAGTAGGGGTACATAGTACCTCTATTCATGCACCAAAAAGTGGAAAACGTGAGTAAAAACACAACAGATTTGGACAAGTCCTTAAAATGTTGGGCTTCCCTTAAAATCCATACCAGACCCGAAAGGCCTTCCCCACTGACAGCTGATGATTCATCGTTTGTTAATACCTTCTGTACACATCTTGTAAATACCTTTTTATGCATTACATTAAAACTACAGATATTAAAGGTCAGGAACCACATAATGTACATATATACCAAAAAAAAAACGCAATAATGACCTCCACAAAATACTAAATAATTGGTTTAATTGGTTTAATGTATAACCAAGTCTACTGCACAAGCTAAATACTGGGTACTTCATAGACTCAGCTAAAAATACACAACTTCACCCTCTGAAAAAGTTAGAGTATACAACCGTGTGTTTTAAATAGTACACATACTGGGACAAACAAACCCAAAACTTGCCTACTTTCAGTTTGCACAAACGCTATAAATGTTACATAGACTCTATACTGTACTTTGACTGTTACCTGGCTACTTTGACCATCTTGGGATTGTATTTCTGTAGCATAGCAAGTAAAGTCTTCATGGTCTTTCCTGTATCAATAATATCCTGTGGAACAACAATTATGACATTGAGATTACTGTAAGGATAAAGTATATAAGCTGTCTCTGTACTTTTGTAAATGGTGCAGCAAAACATATCCCCTCTGGCCTGGTCCAGCAGCAGATTTAAAGCCAGACTCCACCAAAATTTAAAAAAAAAAAAAAGCCCTTATGACTTCTGTAAGGTATTTATAACTGTGTCAGGCGTTCTAAACCTTTCCATTCTATAAAAAAATAAAAAAATGTAAAGTTATTTGTTGGGATATGTAAAAGTTTTTAAAGTGATGTACATACATATATTTTTTTAATTTTTCTATAAAATATTTATTAAAAATCATCCGACAAGAGTGTAGTTGTGACTCTAAAAACCATGTAAGACTATTTTTGGCACAGAAGGTGACAAAAGCGACAACTGCTGGCAGCAAGTGTTAAATATGAAATATTCATATGTAAAGTACAAAGGAAACAATAAGCTGCATTTAACGTAAACCATCCCTTTGCCTTTTCAAGGCAAGAGTCAAGTTCTCTTGATAAGTTAAATAAATCTGTGCTAGGAGATAACCAAAGAACTTACAAAATTATATGGAAGCAGCACTCAGTAATTATCTGAAGAAAATACATAAAACCTGTTGCTCTTTCCCCTTAAATAAATATGCCATAACTAAACATATAATGTCTCAAATATTTACTGGTGAAAATAAAGAAACAGAGTCTATCCACAGATGGAAAAGTGCTGAATGGATATCACTTGTGATAACTCAAATCATCATAAATAGACCATGGAAAGAGAAAAAGTACAGACTTATAGTGCAATACGGTCATACAGTTTTATTATAAAATGCACCAAAGGGTACTCACATGAGAAAAACAAAATACAGCACATATCTTCCAAAACACTGTCTGTCAGCAAGTATGACGACAGCAGCCAAGCAGGCTCCACTCAACATGTTTCATCACTAGAGGAAGTCTTCAGGGGCCAGTAAGTACCCATTGGTGCCTTCAGTTATGGAACATTTTAGTTATCAATAACACTTATTTTGATCCATATATATTTAAAAGGGGAAGCACAACAGGTTTTATGTATATACAGGTTCTCTTGGTAAGACACCCCCCAACACACTGATCCTTTCCTTCGCCATGCTTGCCTCATAACGCAGTTTGCTCTCCAGAGCCCTTGCAAATCCCATGCAGTTTCAAGTATGAAGATACATGTGGCCATATCTCCTTCCTTCCACTATGCAGTACTTCAGGCATAAAAAGCCAGTTACTAGGCCCAAGCATTGTTTTGCAGGAACACAGGGAAAGTGATATCTGAATAAGCTGCAACACAGACCAACATTGAGCAACAGGATGAAAGAGATGCATGGGTAAAAGTATCAAATGGGAGGGGGTGGGTTATCAGGAGAACCTGTCACTTTACCCTGAATTTACACACAGAAAAGATGCTTGCTTTGATTTATAGTATAGATAAAGAAGGCAATGCAATAAAAGGAAATATTGATGTAAAGAGCACAAGCAGAGGCTATAATTGAATACTCACTGCAATTGAGCTGGTTACCTAATACTCAAAAAAAAAAAAAAAAAAAAAAAAAAAGTCCTGCCTTTTTGCATTGGTTTACCCAGTTGCAATGTACAATCATTCCTTCAGAAGAAAAAAAAACCCAACCATACTCTTTGCTATGCGCAGCAGTCTGGCTGAAACTGTCCCACATTCATGTCCAACATTGCAATAACAGATAAATCAGTGAAGCATAGATATGTTCTAAATTATCTACTCACCTCAACGATTAAAACATTCTGCAAAAAAATAAAAAAAAATTAAAATGCATTCAATAAACACCAATCAAAATTATCTAGTTGAAAGTATGCTTAAAAAGAAAGTATGGGAATACCATTTTCCCCCAAAATTATACTTACCTAGGTGGATGTAGCATAGGTCCGATGCTGGATCTGTCCCCCACCAGCTCTAAGTGTGAGAATTCAGTGATCACATGATCGCTCAGTCACCGCTGTCTGCTCTGCCCCCCCACACTCACTGGAGAATTGGACTGTGAAGGGGGAGGGAGCGGGTGGTTCAGGCTCTCAGCAGATCACTGAGAGGCTAAGCCAGGTACCACTCCAGACTCCGGCGTGGATTCTGACTTTAAAGTGGGCCTGCTGTCAGCTGAAAAAAGGTCACAGGAGTGCAGAACAAACTGCACTCCTGTGACCCACAGGTGAAGTACAGCCAAAAGAACTTTGGCTGTACTTCTCCTTCAAATGCAATACTGTGCCAAAATTGTAGGCACTTGTGAAAAATTCTGTAGATCGAGAATGCTTTAAAAAAAAAAAAAAAAAAAAAAAAAAAAAAAAAAAATACATACTGTAGTTTTTCATCTACCAATTAAACTGCAAAGTAGACAAACAGGGAAAAACAAACCATATCAATATTTTTGCTTTTAAAAGAGCATCAACTTCTCCAGGTACACCTGCATATGGCTAAGGATTTTGTATTCACAGTCCAAAACCGTGCTAATAATCAGTGCAAATAATCAAGATACCAGGTAAGTTAAAACTGTTGTAAAGGCTCTAGGTTTTTATCTTCGTGCATCCTATGCATGAAGGTAAAAACTTGTGTGCAGCAGTGCCCCCAGCCCCCTCAACACTTACTTGAGCCCCACTGAGATCCAGCGGTGGGCAAGACAGCCTCGGCTGTCCCGGGTCTCTGCCTCCTCATTGGCTGAGACAGCAAGCGGGAGCCATTGGCAATCACAGCCAGTCAGCCAATAAGGAGATAAAGGGGGAGGAGCCAAGCCGTGGCTCTGTGTGTAAATTGACACATGGAGCAGCAGGCACCCCCATAGTAAGCTGCTTGCTGTGGGGGCACCCAACAGAAAGGGGGAGAAAAAAAGAACCCTTAGTATCACTTTAAAGTACAATCCACTTCTTATGTTGTCACATATATTGTATGGCCTGTATACTTGACACGGAACCACTTCAGATCTGGATTAATGTACTGCCTTCATGACCAGGCCATTTGGCACTGCACTACTTTAAACTGCCAATTGCGCAACACTGGACCCACATGAAACTTATAACATTTTATTTCACACAAATAGAGCTTTCTTTTAGTGGTATTTGATTACTACTGGGTTGTTTTTAATTATATAAATGAATAAAGACCGAAAATGTTGAAAAAAAAAAAATCATTTTTTTTTACTCTCTGCTATCCAATAAAAAAAAAAATTTCTTCACAAAATTTAGGCCAAAATTCTTCTGCATGTCTTTGGTAAGATAAAAAAAAAAATCCCAATAAGTGTATAATGATTGGTTTGCATAAAAGTTTTAGCATGTACAAACGATGGTGTATATATACTGGAATTATTTTTTTATTTTAAATACTAGTAATGGCGGTGATCAGCAACTAGGTGGGAACTGACGAATGACATATCCAGTGACATTAATACAGTGATCTGTGCTATTACTATACACAGTCACTGTACTAATGACACTGGCCGGGAAGGGGTTAACATCCAGGCGCAACCAAGAGGTTGACTGTAAGCCTAACAATGTTTACTGTGTGCGGTTTCTCCTAAGCAGGCTTTGCAGGGAGAAAAAAAAACGGCGCATTGCTCTGTAGAGAGCCCTGTGTTGCTAAACAGGGGGCTCTTTTCTGTCATTCACTCAGCTGATCAGAGGGTTCCAGCCATACATCCTCGACAGGGACCTGCTGATTGCCTTGAGCTGTAGTGAATAACAGCACAGCTGGGGTGGTGGGCACGTGCATACCCCCTACCCAAAAAAGCCATATCACATACATGTATGTGACCTGGCACAGTGGGGCCGCTCTACCGTTTATATCTGTGGTAGGCAGTTGCCAAGTGGTTAATGTTGTTTTGGATCTTTCTTGAATCTAATAAAGATCAGTTACTAAAATAAACTCACAACCCCAAAACCATAAAATCCCTTCCTCTGAGTTGACAGACACAGCTTTTTCATATTCTCGACTATAGGGTTTATAGTGCCACCTAAAGGAGTTGGACTCTAGGAAGAAAAAAAAAAGAACACAGCACCACCTATCCTAGCTAATATAAACCCACTCTCTGCTATAGGTAGGTCAGTTAGTCACAAAGCAGTAAAGGAAAAAAAACAAATACAGGGGTGCTGTGCCAGTCAATGAAGTCAGAGAAGGGGATTTTACAGTGAGTATCAAAATCCTTTTTTAACTTACGTTCATTGGACAGACACAGTTTGCTCGACCATAGAGACATCCCAAAGCAGCGCCTTAATTAGCTGTAGGATCCGGCAGCACACATGCAACCACCATAAAAAACAACCCCAAAAGAGAAACAAGGAACCTCAAACAGCCGCTTGCAGATAAAACCAGCTTCTGAAAATGCAAACACACAAACTTTGTAAAGCTTGGTAAAAGGTGTGCACAGAGGATTGGAACACCCAAGAGGCACTGATCGCCCTGGTGAAATGTGCCCGAACAGGGAAGGGAAGAGCCCGACACTTAATGGTATAAGCCTGAACAACTGTCTGCCTGATCCATCGAGAAATGATGACAGAGGATGCCACCAGGCCTTCTCATCAGTTATCTGCAATTACAAAAAGAGAATCTGACTTCCAGAAGGAAACGGTAGCAGACAGGTATGCATGAACCTCCCAGGCCACATTCAAGGAGTGCAGTGCAACCTCCCTAGGGAGTGATGGGCAAGGACACAGGGAAAGCAGGCCAATGTCCTTATTCAGATGAATTATTATCTGGCCTGTCGCCCAGCTGTTGATTGAAGGTCTCCGCTTGAAAAATCCCAGGAAAAAAAAAAAAAAAGCTATGGAACCACAGGTACCAGAAGGGAACTAGGTCCTCATCCTGAAACACTAGGAATAAATAACTGACTGGCCTATAGCAGAGAGGGGGTTTATAGCAGTTAGGAATGCCCATAGGCAGTGCTGTGTTCTTTTTTTTGCCTAGTGTCCTACTCCTGTAGGTGGCACTTTAAACTCTATGGTCAAGAAGAAGCAGCAGTTTGTCCGTCAATGAACATAAGAGAAAGCCCCCGATCTCCTCCCTTAACTTTTCTCATGCCCCAGTGTTCTCCTAACTGAACTATCTTACTAGCTTTTCAATAATCTTCACCTCCCCTCACATTTTACTATTTCGACCTGCATGCCCCTATGATGGTTTTTACCACTAACCAATCCTTTTTGGCCCATAAGAGACATTCAGATAAGGCATTGGTTTAGGCCCTGTAATTTTGCTACTACCCATCCTTATCAGTAGTCTTAGGCACTGCTTGGGCATATTTGTTTTCTTCTAAAAACCAATAAAAATGATTGAAAATATATGTTTTAGTTACAGGTGGAACCTATCCAGCCGAGTCTATCCCTGGATTCTAACTTGCATACACCAGCAAAAAAGAGCTGTCTTCTATAGGTACTGGCTCAGTTCCTACTTATCTAGCAGTTTTTTGCACCACCAACCTTTGGGTGTTCTAGTACCTCCTCTTGCCTTTACCATAATATGACAAAGAATCAAACAGGATGAGAAGGCCTTATAATGGTCACAGTAAGGTATGCAGACCCAGGAACTCAAGCACTGATCCAGAGATTATTTTATATATATATATATATATATATATATATATATATATATATATATATATATATATATAAAAATAAATAATAATAATATGGGGTGGTTCCACTCTCCAGGATCAAACAAAACAGTGAAATATCAGTTATGAGGATGACAGACCTTTTACATAAACAGGCTGGAAAAAATTAACCTTCCCTTAATTGTTCATAGTGGATATCAGTTGTACAAGCATCCATTCACTGACCGAAAAACATGCAACCATTGACAGAACACCTGATCTGAATACATGTTCTGGGTCAAGCAAGTACTGTTGTCATTAGATTAGCAGCTTGGCCAGGCAACCAGCATTATCTTAAGACAATCAGCAATAACAGTATATGTTTTTCTGTCATTAAAGATTTCTTTTAAAAGGAGAAATCCAGTTTTACCTTTTTTCTAAAACCTCTCCGGCTTCAATACTTTATGACTCATTGAACAGGACAAAACGTGCAGATCAGAAAAGTTAGAATGAAATAATCTGCATACTTGTTCCAGTGGAGTGACTCAAAATGACAGCCAGGAAACCAGTATCTTCATGAGAAGAGATGTACAAAGGCAGTCTCCATACACCCTACAGGTTTCCTTTAGAATGTAGGAAGCCTCTATGCCAGTGTGTAGAATAGGCTGCTCAGAGTAGCCTTTGTGCTGTGTAATACAAACCTTGCCTGTCAATGTGGAAAGATCATCTCCTCCTATAACTTTTATGTCACCCGTAGATTGATCATTCTAGAAGAAGAAAGACCGCAATGTCAACATACCATTAGACAATAACTTAATATGCAAAAAATAAAAAACTTTTACAGGACAACATTTTATAGGCACGTTTTACACAACACATTTGTAGAAAGAACTACAATGAGAATTTATTGGAAAAAAAGTACAGCCTGCAGGTTGTGTTCCATTATCGGGCCATGAATTACATGCTGAAAATAGTAAAAGGTCAGTAGGGCTGTAAAGCATTCACCCACACTGGCTGGTGTCCTGGTTATTTGACCATAAAATAGACTAGAATAATAAGATTTCCAGCATGAAAAGCCCAGTAGCAGTCTAGCTGCAAACACCTACAGAAACGGCTCAGTGATGATGAACCATCTCCTCCCCATTGCACAACCATATCTTTTCGAAGTAATTTTTAAGACAACCAACCAGCGAGTCTAGTGGATGCAGGCTTGCTGCTTATCCTTGTGCCCTGGTTATTTCTGGATGCCAATGCACAGGTTCCTCAAAGTACAGCACAAACAGTGCTGCTTCTGGTAAATAATCTTTTGAAGACCAATCTGTTTTTTTTTTTATTCAAATAGATCAAGTCTTCAGAATGACTGAGCTGCACACAGCACTCATAGCAGTCCAGTGCTAGGATATAGATATGTCTTCCTGACCAGCACCACTTTTTGTTTTAAAACCCTAGTAGAAGAGTGAGCAGAGTTGTTTGCTTGGTTGGAATGCATACATGAAGCAACCAATGTACAGCAGAACGTCAGTGTACAACGATGATGGAACAGTCTGTTGCTTCAGAGGATATCAGAACTCAATGCCTTATAAAAACACTAGTTGGATAATTTTCAGAGATTCCAAACTGACAATCACCTCCTTGCAAAACAAACCAGTGCTTTAGGCACAGTAAACAGAATATGATGGGTTAACCTGGGCCAAGCACAGAGAGGATACAGAGATATCTAAAATACCTCACAGTATCCAATTCTAGAGCGTCCAACCTGGTATTTCTCATTCTTTTCCTTTTTCTTAATTACCTTTACTACTCCTTTTTAACAAAAAGTGGGAAGTCAATGAGGACTTGTTAACTACAAACATGCCCTAATCTCTGATAACCAGATTCACACTGGATGCCTCAACTAGTCTGTTGGTTTTCTTACCCTAATATACCGCTCACACAGACCATTTTAGTTTTAGTTTGGGCTTATGGGTTTAATAATGAATAATTGTTTTTCACTTAGCAGTTATGCTTGCATGCAATACTTGTTCTCAATTTCTGATTTAAAGTGCAACTGTATGCTTATTAAAAGTATCCTTTAATTAAATCTCCTACCTTGATTGCATCCTGCATAGTAAAACACTTTCTTACTCACCACTCTAGCGATCTTCATTGTGTGTCCCTGACTGGCACTGCACAGCTGATGAAGTGAAAATGTTCACACAAGGACAGCTTACTGTGTGCAAAAGCCAGGACATCATTCTTTATCAAGGATAAGCCCTACTCCTGGAGGCCTCGGAACATCCAGTATAGCGTGGGTCATCCCTAGGAATACAGGTGCAGTGGCACATATGTACTGTAAGTGGAGAATCTGGCTGAGATGTTTTCCTTGCAAAGGCTGTGCAGTACCAGGCAGATCGCTGGAGTAGAGGACTGTGTGCATTTTGCAAGGCAGGGTAGAGATTTCATTAAGAATAACTGTACTAAAGATACAGTTGTCCTTCTGGAAGAAATGCAGTACACACAAAAAACCCATCACACTAACACTCTTTTTGACAGCAATGCCCTCAATTTGCTAAATGTTGTACTTCCAACAGCATTATTAACCATAGAATTCCTTTCATCATAAAATGGAGGTGGGCTTTAGATAATTGAACCAAAAATGGTACAAAGAACAATTCTGCAACAAATAAAAAATATGGCTATTAGATGTAAGCTATCACATTAAGTGCTTGAAAATTAAAGGTTTTCTAATAGAGATGAGTGAATCGAACATGACGAAGTGGAATTCGTTCCGAAGATTTGGAAAAATTCGATTCGCGACGAATCCGAAGATTAGCAAACTTCGGATGCACGAATCGAATTTTCCCAAAAATGGCGCGACATGTGTGGCGACAGGAGAAAATGGACAGAGAAGATGGGGCGGGGATCTCTGGGAAGGCGCGCAGACAAGGCGCGCTGACCCATAATGCATTCATGAGTCATGAATCATGACATGTGATCGCATTAGCCAATCAGCAGCCAGCCAGCACTGTGTAATGGTGGAGCTATAAATCGCGGCCATCTTAGAATTCTCCATTAGCCTCCTGTCATTCAAGAGAGACAGACCTGTCTGTATTAAGGGACAGAGTTAGGGCCACAGAGACTTTAGGGCCACAGAATTGTTACTCAGGGCCACAGAATCGTTACTCAGGGACACAGCTATCAAAGAATCGAAAATTTAAAGTGACATACACCCTTTTTTTTTTTTGGTGGCTGTCGTGCACAGTTGGTGCTGCAGTTTGCCGATTGTGCAAAATAAACTGACTTTCTGCTTCACAACCACTATTGTACGTTCAAAGAGTTAGATCCATTTACACGCCGGCTGGCAGTAATATTTTTTGGGTGATGCAATTGGGTGATTAGTGCATTCCAGTGACATAAAACGTACAGTTTACAGCCAACGGCAAGCTGCAATTGACCGATTGTGTACAATAAACTGACTTTCTGCTTCACAACCACTATTGTACGTTCAAAGAGTTAAATCCGTTTTTTATTTTTGGGGTGCTTATTGAATTAAAGAGTATGTCAGACAACACGCAGAGGAGTGGCAGAGGAGGCAATGTTTCAGGAGCGAGCAGACGTGGCAGCAGAGGAAGGGGTCGAGGCAGCACTAGTCGCAGCCAGAGGCCAGTGCTCCCGGTGTCATCCAGCGGTCGTGTCTCCACCGACAACCCTGCCGTCATCGATTGGTTGACTCGGTCGTCTTCCTCTTCCCAGGTCACCTCTGACACCTACAGCCAACGGTCGGTGGGTACGTCAGACACAACCGTTAGTTGGCATGGCCCGGGAGCAAGCCCACTGAAATCACGTGTCCTCGACCTGCCCCTGTCCTTTGGTGTTCCCTCACCAAGCGAAGTATCGCATGCTGTGGGCTCAGCCCCACTGTACAGTGAGGAAGAGCTAACAGAGGGCGGTCAGGAACGGGGGGAGACATCCGCCTCTTCAGCAGCCAGGCGAAGAAGTACTGGCGAGGAGAGTGGCTCGGTAGCCGGTCTAGAGACAGGTCTGTCTCCTGACCCACACGCAGCTGAGGGGGCTAGTAGTGACGCGGAGACCCTAGTTGATGATGATGAGGCTGATCGCACTTGGCAGCCTCGTCGTCATCAGTCTATTGCTTCCGCATCATCAGGAGAAGAGGGTGCCAGCTTGCCAGCGAGCAAAACAGTCGGTGGGTTGCCCAGGAGGCAGCAGGGTCACAGCAGTGTCAGTGGAGCCAAACGGCCACGGAGTAGAGCACCAGCTCCACTGCAGCCTACCACCACGGCCAGTAGTGGTGCCGGTGTGCACGGAGGAAGTAGCAGTCAGCCAGTGAGGAGTAGCGGGGGCAAAGTTTCCTACTCGGCGGTGTGGCAAATTTTTCGTCACGCCGCCCGAGGAAGTAAACGTAGCCGTATGTCGACTATGTGGCCAGAAAGTCAAGCGTGGCCAGGGGGCCAATGTTGGGACTACAGCGTTGCGTCAGCATATGCAGCGTCGCCATTCGGTGGCCTGGGAAAACCGTGATAAAGATACGGCGGTTCTGCCTGCCCCAGCCCCCCCCATCACCCGCTCCGTTACTTGCTCCGTCACCCGACGTCAATCGCCCTCTATCAGCCAGTCAAGGCTCCAACACCTCTGCTGAGGGGAGTTGTCGCTCGTTGGCATCTTCCGCTCGTTCAGATGCTCCTTCTCCTGCTACTCCTCTTCACGGATTCCGTCAGCAGTCTTTCTTGGAATCCGTTTCCAAGAGACAACAGTTTGCGAGCACGCACCCGACGGTGCAGAAGCTGAACGTCCTCCTGTCCAAGTTGCTGGTGCTGCAGTCCCTCCCTTTCCAAGTGGTGGACTCAGCACCTTTCCGAGAAATGATGGCTTGTGCCGAGCCGCGGTGGAGAGTGCCAAGCCGGCATTTCTTCGCCAAAAAGGCAGTGCCAGCCATGCATTCACATGTAGAAGAGATGGTGGGCCAGTCTTTGAGCATGTCGGTCTCTGCCAAAGTGCACGGCAGCGCCGACGTGTGGAGCTGTAACTACGGTCAGGGACAGTACATGTCATTTACGGCCCACTGGGTGAACGTGGTGCCGTCACAGCCGCACCAGCAACTTGGACAGGTCACGCCGCTTTTGCCTCCATGTTTGCACGTCCTTGGTCCAGCAAAGATGTCCGCCTCTACCACCTCTTCTTCTGCCGTGTCCTCAGCCGCCACCCCCGTGCCAAGTCCCATTACCCGACCGGCATATCACATGTGCAGGGCGCAACGGTGTCACGCTGTGCTGCACCTGGTATGCCTTGGCGAACGTAGTCACACAGGGGAGGAACTTCTGAGTGTAATGAACAGAGAAATCGACAGATGGCTGTCTCCGCGCAAACTGAAAATCGGAACCATGTTGACCGACAACGGAAAGAACATGGTGTCTGCTCTGCGTCAAGGAAGGTTGTGCCATGCATGGCTCACGTGTTCAATCTGGTTGTCAAGCGGTTCCTAAAATCCACCATCCCACTGCAAGACATCCCTAAAATGTCACGTAAACTTTGCATGCATTTCAGCCATTCCTACACCGCAAAGCACACCCTCCTTGAGCTGCAGCGGCAGAACGGAATTCCACAGCATCGCCTGATCTGCGACGTTGCAACAAGGTGGAATTCAACCCTACATATATGTTAGACCGCCTTTACGAACAGCGAAAGGCCATCACCGATTTCCTGATGTTACAAGCGGATAAAGGTACTCCCCTGTGTAACTTAGATGTCAGCCATTGGGAGCTCATGCGTGACACCTGCCGCTTGCTCAGGCCCTTTGAGGAGGCCACGCTATTCGTGAGTCGGCAGGACTATGGGATGAACGACGTCATTCCTCTGTTGCACGTCCTGGAACAAATGCTGTTAACAATGGCTGGTCAGGGTGCGGTAGACGTGGCGCACAGATCGCAACGCCACATGACCCCTGTGGGGGCAGGACAGGAAGAAGAGGAGGAGGTAGAGGAGGACATTGGTGCTCAGGAATTATTGAGTGAAATGGGTGGTTTTTCCACTCAGCGGACAGGAGTGGAGGAGCAGGAGCATCTGGTAGAGGAGGAGGAGGAGGAGACAGAGGACCCAGACGCACTGTGGCAGTATGCTGTGGAGATGGAGGCAGGGAGTCCCTCGCATTCCTTGGCACAAATGGCCCATAGCATGCTCGGTTGCTTGCGTAGCAACAGCCAAATAATAACCATCAGACAGAGGGATGACTTTTGGCTGTCCACCTTGTTGGACCCTCGCTACAGTTCAAAAATGGTGGCCTTTTTCACACCTGCTGAGAGGGAGGCCAAAATAAAGTACTATAAAAACCACCTATGTAGTCATGCAGTATATAGCCCTATCGGCCACTTTCTGGCATCCAGTTGCTGTAGCCCCCATCACCACACTGTGCCACGGGCCCCTGTACTGCGCCTTCTCATGTACTGCTGCCAGATCCATCCTCTGCCATGTGCGTCTTTGTCGTCTGCTCACGCTGCTGGGTTCCAGCTTTTTTAAACCTAGGCCTGTGTATGGCTTCCGAATACTGCTGCCTCCACCGCCACCCTGCGCCATGTGCCACTTTCAGGTCTCCTTACACTGTTGGTGGGTTCCATTTTGTGATAGGGTGCTGTATGGCCTTCCATTGCTGCTGCCTCCACCGCCACCCTGCGCCATGTGCCTCTGTCGTCTGCTCACGCTGCTGACGGCTTCCGCTTTTTAACCGAGGCCTGTGTTTGGCTTCCGAATACTGCTGCATCCACCGCCACCCTGCGCCATGTGTCTCTGTCGTCTGCTCACGCTGCTGACGGCTTCCGCTTTTTAACCTAGGCCTGTGTATGGCCTTCAATTGAAGCTGCTTCTGCTCCGCCACTCTGCCATTGGACTCTTTGATAGTCGTCTCCCCACGCTGCTGCTGAGCGGACTTTTTAACATAGGCCTCTGTATGGCCTTCAATTTTAGCTGCTTACGCTCCGCCACTCTGCCATGGGCCCCTGTACCGCCTCCTCATGCTGCTGCCAGGCCTGTAATCTGCCATGGGCCCCCGTACCGACTCCTCATGCTGCTGCCAGGCCCGTAATCTGTCATGGGCCCCTGTACCGACTCCTCATGCTGCTGCCAGGCCCGTAATCTGTCATGGGCCCCTGTACCGCCTCCTCATGCTGCTGCCAGGTCCAGAGTGTGTCATGGGTCCCTGTACGGCCTCCCATTGCTGCTGTCTCCATCGCCACACTCTGCCATGTGCCACTTTCAGGTCTCCTCACACTGCTGGTGGGTTCCATTTTGTCATAGGGTACTGTATGGCCTCCCATTGCTGCTGCCTCCACCGCCACACTGTGGCTCCACATTCTGGTTTTGGCCCCGTGACTGCCCAAATGAGTGAAGTGTGCGGTGATTCTAAGATCAACGGCACTCATCTGCATGTCATACTGACTGACAGTATTATTTCTCTTCCCCAGCAGACTCCAAGGGCATTTAAATTAAAGGTACAGTGTTCTGCACTAATATAAAGGCTCTCTGAAGCCTAGAAACACCCTTTTTATAAGTTAAATTCGCAGCGAATATATTCGGCACGAAGCGAATTTAATCGGCGAATTCGGCGAATCAGCCGAACCAAATTTTTGAATAATTCGCTCATCTCTATTTTCTAAACATGGTGCCAGTCAGGTATGTGTGGGGGGGATTGCCCACTGTTCCACAGCCCCTATTTTAAATCAATTTAAGAGATTCTGATAAGATAGTAATAATAAAAAAATGTTTTTTTTTTTTTTTTTTTTTAAATAGGCCAGCCCGTTATTTATTCTCAGCTGTATCCAAGCCTCCTGATGATCACTTACAACAAAACAAGGTGGATTGCAATTCCCTATTCAGTCACTAGGTGGCAGTAATTAGCACAAAGATTATACTTACACAGTAACTTTTCAGCCTGATAAAGTCTACAGTCATAGGGATTGACCGGTCACTGTTTCGATTCAGTGCCTTGATATAGTCAAGTAGATCAGCGAAAAACTTGTACCCGCCTTTCAAGACACAAAGTGCAACTATATGATGACCTCCCATATCTTTCATGATGTCCCGAGCTAACCGTTCAGTCCTGCACCAAAAGACACACACAACACATTCCATAATTTTTTTAGTTCTTATAAATTCATTAGAAGAAAGCAAAAGTAAAAAAAAAAAAAAAAAAAAAAAAAAAAAAAAAAAAAAAAAAAGGCAGAAAAAATAAAGTTGGGGTCCATTCACAACTCGGCTTTTTTACTGCACAGATTTCTGATTTTAGAAGTGTGAGGAGAGTTTTGTGCACTATACAATGAACTGGAAAACATACAAAGAAAATGTGAGAATTGCAGGAAAAACCCAGCAGAGAACAACTTTCATATTCAAAATGAATAACGTACCACACGTCATAATGGTAATGTGCAAAAATGTGCATTTTACTGCATTGCTGCAGCTCGCTAGTCTGACTAGATCCCAATACACAGAGTAATTAAGGCTTGGTTCACACTACTGTGGGACATGTGACCCACGTTTGCTTGGACACAGCCGCCCAAGCAATTGAGTGGGCTGTTGTGTCTGCATTTCCTGCACATAAAAAAGGTGCTTGCACTTTAAAAAAAAAAAAAAAAAAAAAAAACCATGGTCGCAAGCAAACCGCATGGTCTTTTTCACCATGCAATTTTCCTGTAGTTCCCACACTGAGGGTTGAGATGCATGAGGGTACCATTCAGAATGAATGGCAGCCCAGCGAGTCTCGTAAAAGCGACTCCTGCACCCGCAATGAGCCTGCACAATGTGAACCAGGGCTTAGGGCTGGTTCCACAATTATGCATTGCGGTAACAGATTACTGCAATGAAAATAATGAACTGGTAGCGTGGTAGGTTCCATTCATTTTGAATGGCAGCCCAATGCTTTTTTTTTAGACTGTGGTACCTAGACAGTCTATTCAAAATTAATGAGCTGCCTTTTAAAGGCCACAAACATTAATGCACCAAATGCTGAACATTAATGTGTACTGCAGACATGTACATGTGGCTTTATAAATGATCATATGAACTTACACTACAGAATATGTAAACCCAACATTTCACATTCCTGATATGTGTCTTGCTGTACCATGTACTTGTGTTTAAAAGTATCTTGTTCTCTTTGTATTGCTTCCTTTGTGTTAAATCCCTGGTGTTCCTGCCAGTTCCTTTGCTTTCCTATTAAAAACTGACCACACTTAAGCTGACATGCCACCACCCCCCAATCACAGGGAAGATCAGTGTGCTGCTGTTTCTCCTCTCTGACCCCCTTATGCAGCTGGGAACAGAGGGTATGTGACGCACACACACACACACACATATATAGATAACATACACATCATACTTACCTGCTCTGTCTCAGCCAATGAGGAAAAAGACGGGGGGGGAGTGTCGGCTCTTGTGCACATCACTGGATTGGGGTCAGGCAAGTATTAGGGGGGGCTGTGGGGGGAGCTGCACACTGAAGATTTTTAACCTTCATGCATAGAATGCATGAAGGTAAAAAACCTTCAGCCTTTACAACCACTTTTAACTTATTTTCTTTTCATTCTCCTACTGCCCTGTAGCCCATCCTGCCCATAAGCTGGGCAAGCCTGGCAGCGTTTGCAGTGCTTCCTATATTAATTATATTAGATAATAGTAACTCCCAGCCCCACACAGTCACAAAACCTTGCCACATGGAGAGTACATTAACCACTTCCAGCCCGCCATGTACTGTGGCAGGGCGGCAGCTACAGGCATGTGACGCAGCCGTACGTCGCTCTGGCTGTACTAACACAGGGGGGCGCTATGCACCTGAGGGGGCACGCAGTGCTCCCCCCTCACAACTGTTGTGTCCAGCGGACACAGCGGAATGAAGATCCCGGTGAACGGGACCGGTGATCGCTCAGCAATCACAATTTAAGCAAAGCGGTTATGAATCAGTCTCATTCATAACAGCTCTGCTCCTCTTCCTAGTGAGCTGTGATTGGCCCACAGCTGTCACATGAAACATGCGGCCAATCAACACCCTGTACCATGTGACCAGCTCCAGCCAATCACAGATCACTATCCTGAGCTGTCAAAACTCAACTTATTCATGACAGTTCATGAAGGAGTTAGGTTCTGACAGCAAGCTTTGCATTGCAGGACAAACGATCATTATTTCTCCTGCAAAGCAAAGTGTAAAAAAGAAGAAAGGAAAAAAAAAAACAGCTGCTGCTCCTGCATGGCAAGCCCTGTAACAATGACCACAGCCATTTATATTGGTCTTCCTGGTGCAGGCAGCTAGCACGGCTAGAGACGTTGCAGGTTGCACACAGAGTGCTGGCAGGCCACATGTTGGGTACCAGGATCATAGAAGAAATATCCTTGGCATATTGAACTTAAGGTGTTTAAAAATGGTCAGCCTCCAATTTTCATTTTTTTTTTTTATCCAAATATAGTATATAACTTATTACTGTAATGTATGAAGTGCGTTTTCAAACTTAGACACTTCAGTAAGTTTAGTAACACGTTCCTTCAGAATTTAGTCTTTATATGCTTTTTTTTTTTTTTTTCCCTATCAGTGCTATTTATTTTCTGCCAGTCATACGACGAGCAAGACAAAAAATAGCATGATTTACAAACAATGCTTTAAAATCATTTATGGTAGAAAAAAATGAGAAAGCGCTCAAGATAATGTGCAAAAATAGAAGCGTCTAATGGGTTGTTATGAATCAACTCAAATAGAAACGCCACCACTGGGAATTTGATTCATCAGACTCTTCTCTCTTGAAGTAGATGTAAATCTGACTGAACGGTGCTTATTAAATTATAGGCTAGTGATATAGGCTTCAGGTGATTGGACAGTGACAAAACTTTGCTGGAAATGCCACCCTGGGTGTATCCCTATACCCCCTACCTCCATGAGACAGTTTAACAAGCAATGCAGAGTAGCAGGAACAGAGGAGAAGGTGGCCCGAGAACTGTACTGCACTCCAAGTTAGGGTCTTTACAAGTAAGCTGGATATTCGTAGACCATGGGACGTCCCAAAGTAATGCAAAGGGGTTGGCAACAAGGCAAACAGAACTGTGCCAACAGACCCAACAATAACAGGAGTCAACTGACTCTTGTGCCGTCAGAACCTTGAGGCTGAAACCTGCATCAGCAAAAGCCTGGACATCCACCTGGTGAAACTTGAAGATGCCATGAACTAAAGACCAGGTAGCCACTTTGCAAAAGTTGGATGACAGAAGTTTGATATCAGAATGCTCAGGAAACACCCATCGATCTGGTGGTGTGAGACAACGTGTGCTGGAGTGGTCTGAGCCTTTACAGTGTAAGCCCTTGAGATGAGCTGTCCCATCCAGCTAGCAATAATGGATTTAGAAGCAGGATGTCCTTTGCAAGATACTGTCAACAAGACAAAGAGAATCCATCTTTCTTATAGAAGTTGTGTGTCTTTTGGATGAACTCCGATAGCTCTGACAACATCCAGACAATAAAAATCAGTCTCCTTGGAATGCTTGGAAGCAGGGCACAAAGAGGGAAGGACTAGGTCTTTAATAAAGTGACTGAAAAGTCTTAAGTTTTTTTTTTTTTTTTAAACAAATAGGTTTTTACTTACCTGTTCTGTGCAATGGCACTGCACAGAGTGGCCCCAACCTCCTCAGGTCTCCCGCCCATGCTCCTAGCTCCTCATCTTATTGGTGTGCCACTACAGGAAGCCACTTCCTATCATGGTACACCTGCGTGCTCAATCCCCAGCAGCGCCACCTGTGTTCACCGACACAGACAGGCTCAGTTCCGCTCCTATTCCTTGTCACAAGTAAAGCCTGTGAGGGGAGAAGAGGAAAGAGCAACTGCATATGGGCACTGCGCTGGATTGAGTGAGGACGGTAAAGTATAAGAAGGAGTGAGGGGGAGATAGTTTAACCTAAACATTTTTTTACTTTAATACAAGAAATACATTAAGGTAAAAAATGTTAAGGCTTTACAACTTTAATGTGAAAGTTAGAGAACACCAAAAGCTGGTCTTGGATGTAAGACTACTTTGTCTTTGTGAAGGATCATGAATGGCTCCTTACAAGTTAGAGGCGCTAGTTAAAAGATACGTCAATAAGGTAATTTTGCAGTAAAAAGAAAAATTCCCTGATGGGTACAAAGGGTGGTTTACACACACAAGGAGGCACAGTGTATTGCAAGGGTGGTCTAATCCCTGGTACCATGTTCTGGATCCATTTGATGCCATAAAAATTACGATCTTCTTCTCTTGCTTTATATGCGGAGCAATCGAGGCAAAATTTGCACTGGAGGAAAGGCATATATTAACTGGAACGGTATATACAGGGAACAACTGATGCTAGTGCTAGAAAATCCTTGGGTCCCTGCCACAAGCAGGGGTAACTTGTACCTTAATGCCAGGGTTTCCACATCTAGAGCTCTCCATTTCTGGCACAATAGATAGAAGATGTTGCAATGAAGGGCCCATTCCCCTTGGTCTAGGCTTAGACAGCTGAGATAGTCTGCCTTCCAAATGTCCACTCCTGGAATGTGAACAGCAGAGAGGGATGGACAGCTTTTTCCACCTATTAGAAGTACTTCCAATAAAACTGCATGACTTCTGATACCCCCTTGATGGTTGATACAGGCCACAGTCTTGTCAATGTGTGATTATTCCTTAGTCAGGAAACCCTGAAGAAGAGTGGTTCAGTAATTAACAGCTAGTTTTATTGCCCTGCGCTCCAGGATGTCGATATGGAGCTTGGTCTCTTTGGGTGACCTGAACTGTGAACCTGTGAGGTTGGCATCTGATGTCATCACCTTCTATGGGTGTGGCAGAAACAACTTCCCTGTTGCTTAGGCTGGACTAGAAATCCACCAAGTTGGAGGTTCCTTATATGGCTGGAAAGGCACAAAAAGGGAGGTCAAGAGAAGGAGCATGCTGGCTCCAGGCCAACAAGAAGTTGCGTTGGTGAGGCCTTGAATAGAATTGAGTGAAGGGTACTGCCTAGAATAAGACTACCGTGAGGCCAAAAACTCTCAAAGAATCTCACTGAAGGTTGTTTAAGATCAGATTATGGAATCTTAGAGAGAATATTGTCAGTGCCAAAGAAAGAAGAGGAGGGGAAGGAGGACGTAAAGCAGAACTTCCCCTTTAGGGTTAAAGTGGAACTTTAGGCTGAGGAATTGCAACAGGCGGACAGGCAGGATTTTTAATGCAGAAGAGACATGCTTTGTCTCTTCTGCATTAAAGCTACTTACCCACTTGTCCACCCTTGTACTGCGAGCCGCGCATGTGCAACTCACTCTACAAAATTAGCAATGCTGAATCTGACTGAACTTCCGCATCACCTCCCGGCCAATGACCAGCGATCGAGACCCGAAAGCCAGCAGCCGGGCGGATAAAGGTTTTACATAAATAAAAGCGGATTTTAAGCTCCCCTGTCAGTGGTAAATTGCGTCTCATCTTTGCACCTTTAAAAGAGCTTTTCTGTTAAACAGATTTACTGGCTGAATCATCAGGTGAAAATAGAGGAAAGCAAATATTTGCTTTAGGGTTTAATACCGCTTTAACATATTTTTAAAAATGTATAAGAGCAATGTTTACGGCACAATAAGGGCAAAGGTAAGCGAATACCTTTGGTAAAACCTTTAAGGCTCTTTCACACTGACAGCACGGGGATGATGGACAGCGGGGCCCTGGTTTTACCACCAACAATTCTAACATTACAGCCTGACAAGGCTGTACACAGGCTGTGGCAATTTTAACTTGGCACCACCTGTCAAACTAGGCCATTGATATCAATGGGACTGCACTACAACCACATGCTTGGCTCACAGTTGTGAAGTGGTCGACAAAAAAAAAAAAATAAAAAACACACACACGTTGTCAGATAGTATTGCCTGCCAGCCCCTGATATACCGCCCTCTGATTGCAGATCGCTTTTCAGAGGGTGATTAGCATTTCCGAAAGAGCGCTTTAGAGTATCTGTCAGCTCAAGACTGGAGATGTTAATAGAGTGGAAGTGTCAAATGTCACTTTAAATTAGCTGCAAGCTAAGCACGTCAAACAGAGATGTCCTAAGCCAATTTTCATTATAGGAATAATATGAAACTTTTTCCTGACAACTTATCACTAGGAGTAATCTGACTTTGTGATACTGCTTCCACTGGGAGTATTTACTTGCATGAAGTTAATACATACCGTACTTAGTGGACATACTTGAGTTCGTAGTTCCCCCACATGGGGGACATGACTTACTGATCCAGTGTGCCATTGACATGTAGTAAGTGAAACAGAAATGCAGTGTAGCTTTATGGCCTATTCACACCTATGTTTTGGTGCCATTGTGGTAATGGTTAATGTAAGTTACCACAATGTAAGTTACGTGCACTAACCTGTAGTGCTATTCATTTTACAAAATGCCCCATATTTTGCAGCACAACCTAACACAAGGCTATACATTATGTATAGTGTTGAAACTGCTTCAAAAAAAAAAAAAAAAAAAAAAGCCAAGTCAGTTTTGTGGTTCGTTTTGGTACATTGGCAGCCTATTCATTAGTAGTTTGCCTTAACCAGGCTTTTAAAGGCCTAGGGCTAGTGAGCACCCTCAAAGTTCATTGATTCTTCAGTAACTGTTTACCTGTATGGGCAGACAGTGGTACTGAGAGTCTGCAGGAGCCTTACATTGCACTCGCAATCTACTGATCGCACACACAGACAAAAAGTACATTTTTAGGGTAACATACACTTTAAAATTCCTTTCATGTGGAGAATATTTCTTCTTGAAGTGTATCTATACCCAAAAGGTTATATATTGCAGATTACTAGTCCTTTCTTTTTCATTTTCTGCATTCATTTTCTTTTTTCAAACTTCTTTTGCTTTATTTTTACCTGTCAATCCTGCAAATAACACTTCCTTCCCTGAGTGGCTACGTCACTCCTCCACTGCATCTATGGAGGAAGCCATGGTAGTCACCCTGGGATGCTCTCCTGATATGGACTACAAACATGTCCGTATCCTTTCATCTCCATTACATGAGAGGCAGGGGAAGTGTTAGTTTACAAGAGATAGCTAGGAAGGAAGATGTTCTTCGATGTAGATTACAGGACGTGACAAGGAAACTGCATTTCTTGCAAGATCAACAAGTATTTTCTGTATTTCTTGAAAGCTTGCAAAAAAGGAAAAAAACAATGCAGACACTACAAATCAGGACTGCAGGTTGCAATATATTGCATGGTCTTGGGTTTAGTGATCCTTTAAATTTTGTTGTATTTTTAAGATAGGAAGCAAGGTGAATTCTCCCAGTGGGTACAGAGACTGTAATAAAAACCCGACAAAGGTTCTAACCTTTCTCTCACGGTGTCTAAAGCTACAGAACAACAATAAGTAGACCCACCTGTCCATTATTAGGCCATGAGGAATGTATACCTTCTCAAGATCAGCTGCATAGTGCTTTGGAATACAGAACAGGTCAAGGTCATATCCTTGCTCATCGTCAGCAAGCTGGAAAGGAAACAGATTTGAATAAACAAACTTCTAAACACTGAAAATAATGGTCATGTTCTGTGAAATGCAAATACTCCGAATCAGCAAAAACCTATGCAAAGCATGCATATTTCTAGGATATATGAATAAGATTCATAAACCATTTAAACAGGCTGTTTAACCCCCTCCAAGAATAAACAGGACTTAATGGGGAGAATTTAGGAACACTGGAGCAGACAGGATTTGGAGCAGTTGTGCATGGCAATCAGCATCTAACTTCAGTTTGCTCTTTTAAGCTTTGAAATAAAGGATAGAAGCTGACTGGCTGCCATATAGAGCTGCTCCATACTCTGCCTTTTGTGTTCACTTTCCTTTCTTAGTCTATGAATAAAATGTGTGATGTTGATTAGAGCAGATACCAACCTCTGGAATTTTTCAAAACAATGAGTGGCTGGCAAAGCTAGTTCAAATATTGGTTACTTGTTTCCTCCATGAACGGGGGTGCACATACCCATGCACCAAGGCCAATGGAAAAAAACTGATTATCTAATCTATAAGCAAAAATAGGGGATTTTTTATTCAAATTTTCCTAAAGAGAGAGATCAAGCACAAGTTGCCTCGGTGTTCCTCAAAAAAAAAAATCATACCATGAGAGGGTACATCTTATTATGTCTTCAGAATTATATCGATGACTACCTAAAAGAACATATATCAGGGATCACAAGATTGCAAAAATATGCCAGATATAAAGGATAGCTCCAACATGCCTATATCTTCATCATGGTGTAATATATATCCATGAGAGATATAAAATTCTCATCCCCTAAATTATTCATTATAGATAACAATCAAAAGTAACAAAGTTGGATGCGATTGCTTAACTCATTGACATTTATTCAACTCCACTATTTGACAATGCAGTCTTATCATACAACTATTTCTTAAAGCACTGCATGCATGTACATTTTCATCCACTCTTGGAAGAGGCTATTTACCCAATTAGTCCCTGACGAGAGACTACAGCTATCACTAAAGGGAGGGGGCTTTCTATCTCTGAATACTGTGACTACAGATCAGGGTGGATAAAAATCAATGATTTTTTTTTTAAAACAATAAAAAAAAAAAAATTGTTTTTTTTTTATTTAAATCGGATTTTTTTAAATAAAATGCTTTTTGAGGAAAATATATTACCATCCAAAGGTTATTCCATCATTAAATAAAGATTAGTTTTTGAATTATGTAGAACAAGGCTGTATATGTTTAATTTTTTTTGTAAATAAATACCATTAATCCATGTCATGCTCTTCCAGAGGTTTTTGTAAGATTATTGGGCAGTTTCTCTGCCTACAAGATATTATCACAGATGCTTGATTTACTTTTGCAGTTCTCAAAACTGAATTTGACTCAGCGGAGATCACATGCCTCTTCTTCACAGCAAAAATGTTATAACATGAACAGAGTTAAGAAAAAGACCTTAATCCTAACTTCTACAAACCTATGAATACAGAATCAACCCCTTCAGTGCTAAATTTCAAGAAGTTCAGTGAATAGAAACAATATTTTTGTGATTGTTTGGAGTGGAATAGATCTGCACAAGAAGAAAGTGAAACTAAGTGTGAGGAGGAAGGGGCTGACAGTCTAAGTTTCTTAAAATATATATTTTTGTTTAGCCAAATTAGTTAACAAACATGGATGTTTGTTTAAGCAAATAACATATGCTGAATGTTATCGTTTCAGTTGAATAAATCTATTTAAATTGTTATTATTAAGGTAATAATCATTTTTCCCCTTCCTAAGTACAACAGAAAAGTTGTCCAAATATGAATGATTAACCTATTAAACTGGGAATAACTAAAAAACTAATATTAAAAGTTGTTATTCTAAAAATCTTCATCTACTTGCATATTAAAGTTATACCAGCAAGAATTAGTCTTTATGTAGAAAACTAGGATTTAAATCAAGCCTTACTGACTAGTGATTTAAATCAGTTTGATTTAAATCAAATCCACCCTGCTACAGATCCACCTGTACCCATCAGTTGACAAGATGTCAAATATTGGTTAGAATTATGCTTTAAAGAGGAATTTCATCAGACCTTTGCAAAACTAAGTCAACAACTACAAAGATTGTACCTGCTGATTAGAATACACATACTGTATTTACCAGCCCATGAAGTCCAGTGCAGTCTTCTTTGCTGGGGGTTTTTCTCTGTGCCACCATTGTGCGTTCAGGAGTGGGCTGTCATTTCTTGGTCGCCCACAGCCAGCCCCCTGCTGCACATGCATGTTATCATAGCCTGCAGGGAGACTGTCCTGAAGTCTCCTGGGATGTGCAATGTGATATCGCAGGCAATCTCAGGGCTATGTTATCCTAAGGTTGTGGGAGCAAGTACCTGCAGGAAAAAAGGTACCTGCTGCCTGTCCTAAGGGAAAAAAGCATGTGTTCTGTTGGAGGGAGGGGAGATTAATATAATGCTGAGTTGTCTTTAAAGTATGACGTTCCACTATAACTACTTGAGTGCCAGCCTGTAATACCCCTTCATTACCAGCAATGTTTCAGTGATGTGTTAGTTTACCTGACAGTTTACTTTTTCATAGACAGATCGATCTTTTGGAAGTATTTATTAACTACTGCAGTTTTTACTTTTTGCTATAAAAAGGAGACCAAAAAAAGAAAAAAAAAAAAGAAAAAACCCAGACGTTTCTCTTACTTCCCTATTTGTGTTAAAATATCAGAATGGTATGAAAACCCTCATAATGATCCTTTTTTGGAAAGTAGACACCCCAAGGTGATCCCATTTTTTACAACAATCTTTTGAAAATGAAGAAACATGCCAGTACTAAGGGGGTTAAACAGAGCTTGAGAATAGTGCACCAGACACATTACAGTACAGATCACACAGAGGGAAGAGGAAGTGAAGAGGTTAATGTACTGGTCACATAGTGGCGGGTTAGAAATGAAGGTTAATGAATAAGGTGCAGGATAAGGAAGGTGAAAGGATTAATATACAGGTCACAGAGACAGCATAGAGATAGTATGTGTTGGAGAGAAGGGGGTCATGAAAGGGTTAATAAAAAAACATTCCTTTTGTCAGGGAACACAGTGAATAGAGACGCAGATGCATTCATTTTGTCCCCATTCATAATTACACACTCTCTCCCTCTCCGCTTACAACAGGGAATCAGCACTGTAGACAGTACCATGTGATCGCTACGATGACCAATCAAATGGTCCCTCAGATCAGTATGACACAGGGTCTCCGTTTACCCAGCTAATGATGGCTCAGAACACAGCATTCACCAGTCAAATTGGACACCCAACAGCTATTTATCCAGTGGCATTGATTAAAGGCACTGGCTAAAGAACCTCCAATATGCCACTGACAAATATTCCTGGTACAAAAGATCTATTTGCCTGGTTGTCATGCTTAGGAAATTATTTCTAAATTTTCTGAGCCACAATACAGATTAAGCATTCTGATTTGACTTGCAGTGTGCTCAGTCTAGACTGTGGCTTGGTAAGTACTGGAGCCAGAGAAAGCCAAGCGATTAGCATTTTGAAAATCAAGAAAGCAATGGCAACGTTCACAGTGATCAGACCACTGCCTGATCCTATGCAAAATGGTAGAGAATCAAACTGATGAATTCAGACTGATTAATTCCAATTTAGTGCCAATAAACCAGCCATGAGTGAAGGCAATAAATGCACCATTTTACAGAAATAGAAACTTCCAACGAGTTTGGTTTGCCTTCAGCTGCTCTGTATCCTTGTTGGATACCATAAACACAGCTTAAATCCTCCTGAATTATCAATGGAGCTTTATTCTTCACTGTATCTCCAGCAGTTTTCCAAAGGTGACTAATTCAGTATACTCTGGTGTAGATACATCCTGTCATATTGGGATCACCACACCTAACACTGTAAACACAGCTCTGTGTTTGGGAAAAAAACACCACAACTGCCCTGTACAACCCGGAGGAGGAAAATGGGTTGAACAAAGAAAGCCGATTTCAGCTGATTCTGCTTCAGTACAAGCTGGCTTCTGTTTTGCTGCTACAAACTGTAGCCAGCTTTACAAGCTACTGTATTTTGTTTCTGGTTACCAGTACACATTCTCCAATGGCAATGGGATAACCCTGCGAGCTTACACTGTAATGAAGTGGGTGCATATGAGCCCTGGAGTTCATTAAGTGTGTGGTGGATATTCTTTAGAAATCTGTCTGGTGGTAGTGTGACAAATGGTGGAACATTCAACAGAATGAAGTCAGTAAAGTGTATACGAAGCAGTTGCAGCTCTCACAATTGTCTCAAGTATCTCACCTGTGAAGAGGCAGACATTTTATTCCAGAATTCTCTCAAAGATACAACATAATCAACAATATTCTTCTTATTACCAATATGACAGTATTCCTTTACAAACCAGTTGCAACAATAGCTCCATACAGCAACGTCACAAATTAGTAGTTGAATTTGGGGTATGCAACAGTACAAAGTGAAAATGTTGCAGGGTTTTCAAAGCTTTTGACTACATACATATGTAACAAAATGTGTCAGAAATACCTTACTGAATTGCCCCTGCCCCTCCCAAACACACAAACCCTACTCCACCCTGTGTTGAAGAAAATTGCTGCACCTCCATTCACACACACAGAGCATGGCTAAGCCCTGCCTTCCGCTCTCTCCTCATTGGTTCACTGGCTTTGATTCATTCATTCTTTGTGGCATAGATTCCACAAGGTATTGGAAACATTCCTTAGTCTTTGGTCCATATTGACATGATGATCACCCAGTTGCTGCAGATTTGTCGGCTGCACATCCATGATGCAAATCTCCTGTTCCACCACATCCCAAAAGGTGCTCTACTGGATTTTGATCTGATGACTGTGGAGGCCATTGGAGTGCAGTGAACTCATCGTCATGTTCAAGAAACCAGTTTGAGTGATTTGAGCTTTGTGACATGGTGCATTATCCTGCTGGAAGTAGCCATCAGAAGATGGGGACACTGTAGTCAAAGGGAT